CTTGAACGGCGTTTCGAATACAAACAATAACTTAAAACAAATTTACCGACTGAGTATTGACTACCAGTAAAGGTGCTGTTTGACGACTACTGCATCTTCTGGATCTATCCCATAAGTCTTTTGCTACGTCCAATCCAAAGAGAGAGAGAGATATATATATTATATATATATATAGCTGAACCATCAAACTTGAAAGACGAACATTTAAAGTCTATTTCAGTTTCTAAAGTTTGAGAAGAGATTTCGATTTTTTTATTTATTTACTTAATACATGTTAGAATAATTCACAGTTTTATTCTAGTTAGTAATTATAATTAAAATGATAATAATAATAATAGGTAGATACATAATTTGATAGGAATCGGACGTAGTGCGCAAAGCTCTAGGTCCGATTCGTATCAGGGGGTCTACTCTCGATCTCCGTCCGAAACAATTACTGCCAAATAAGCAATACTTGACCAAATGAAACGCGTGATGCGGATGAAGCTCCATACTTGATACTTGTCTTTTAATTTTGTCGAATAGTACTTTTGGACAGTAATTGTTTCGGACGGATGCCGGATGGAGATCGAGAGTAGACCCCCAGTTCCGAATTCGAGAAAAGACAGTCCGAAATGTCACAGAGATCACTTTATCTCTAGGTGTATAAGCGATATTCGTATTTTCTCGGATTGGAATCGTACTTAGTGCACAAGCGACATCCAAAATGGGTCCGAGTTTTCTAAATTTGAATCGGAAGCAGTGCTTATACGATTATAGTTATACTTAAATATGAGTAATCAAATGCCATGTACGAATTTCCACCTGCATAAAGTTCCTTAGCAAAGTCAAAGAGAAATTTAAAAAAAACCACAATTACACAATAATCGTTGTACAGAGTGCTAAAAAACTGACCTCAAAAGTTCGTGGAATTACATCTATTTGCCAAGTTTTATTGAAATCGGTTACCGGGTAGGAGATAATAAAAATCAGTTCTCACTACTCAATGTACATATATTGAGAGAGAAAAACGCCTTGATTGGAGAATAGCAAAATCAACCATTAAAATAATTGCTATTTATAAAAATGAATCTTCATGCAACAGCCACTCTTAGAGGTGGATGATTTTTTTCAAAATTAAATGGGACGACTATGGAGGTACCCTCTTTCTAACAAAAAAGAATCATTAAAATCGGTTCACAAATGGCGTAGTTATCGCGTGACACACATACAAAAAAACATACCGTCGAATTGAGAACCTCCTCCTTGTTTGAAGTCGGTTAAAACTATTGAGTAGTTAAAGTAAAAAAAAAAAATGAGAACAAAAATAACAGACAAATATACAAAACTTAGCGTATCATCGCCAGTCACGTGATGTGTCAAAGTGGTCATTTATCACCTGACTGTGTCTATGGGTATGGGTTCCTTCTCTTTACCTAATTTCGGTGGCAATTTTTATTATTTAAGTATTCGAATATATTATCGTGAAATATTAAATAATATTTCAGGTTACTGCATACGAATATTAAATAATGTTTCAAGAAAATAGTCTAGAATATTTAAATAATAAAAATGTACACTGTAATTATGTACAGAAAATTAACCTGAAAACTTAGAATAATAACGTATAGAAACCTAGTCCGCACACGCTAAGTGAGGCAAAATGAAGCGCTCCCAAAGGGCCTACATGAACGGGCGGGCCGTCAGTGCTCAAGGTCAACTTGCACCGCGAACAGATTTAGAATTTTAGCTAAAAATGACGAAATGTGCGGTAAATGAGTGTAAAAATACGTCAGACAAACATAAAATAGATACTAACATCACATTCCACAACACTAAAACCGAAAATTAACCTACTACTAAAACTAGCCTACATGAATTTGATTTTTGCCTCACTTGTGACAGTTCGTTTGATATGAAACTATCATTCTATGTGTTATTATTCTAAGCATGAAAATTATACCTATGTTTGTACAGAACAAATCAAATTCAGAGCGATTTTGTGATGTATTATTAAAAAGTAACAAAATGGATACGTTTTATGTTTCACTGTATTTCATACTGGCTTTCAGTTAGTTACGTTGCAGGACTGACCCTGTTCTACTCGAGAGCCTCAAGACACGTCTCGTTTCCCACTAACAGAGTAACTCCACGAATGACGTAAGCCGACGTAGTAACGCCTGAGCTGTGAGCACTTTCGATTTCTGGATGAAACCGAGTCTGCTTCCTCACCACGTAATGTTAACCTTAAAAACGTGATTCAAACTTTCTTAGTCTTGGTATTTATCAACTAGGATGCCAAAAATAAAAGTGGTTAAGTAGAGACAGTCTTGCGGTGTAACGTTAAATATAAAAATAATGTTAACTTATTGTTAATATACAATATATGTTTTTGTATTGCATTCTGCTTTTCTCTTTATATCTAATCATATACACACCGTTAGTCCCGGGTATTCTTAAAAGAGAAGTTTTAAGGGGATAAGTTTAATAAGTATTATTTTATCTTATTAGGGACAAAAAAACAGCAGTACAAAGCTCAAACAGTCTTATTACTAATTTACACATAATTATGTACTACAAACAATATCTAGATGATATATATATAACTACTATATAAATAACTACTATATAAAATAAATACTATAATAATGATCATGTTGCCACTTAATTATAATATATTGAAAATAATATATTTGTTAATACACAATAATAATAATAATAATGGAAGGCGTATACTAAACCTCAAATTCCAGTCAATCATGCTAGGTACTCAGTAACTCATTGGTTTATCTAAACAAAATTGAGTCCTATTTTTTGGTGATGTAGGTATAGTTTTACTCTGGCACCTTATTAATAATCGTTGCAGACACACTAAATTGGAAACTATTGTAGTGGTAGAGCGCTAATATTTTCGTCAATCATCGACACCTCACAGCAATTACAACATTCAGGTTAAATTCATTGTTCACTCTCTTCACATTACCATTTTTTTTATTTTACCTTTTTTTAATGATAACTTAATTGATAGCCATTACAAATACTATAGAAATAAGAAATGAAAACGGTTACATAACATGATTAATTAATTAGAAATCATGCAAGGAATTTCAAATTCGCTACCAACTGCTCATAACAACAGATGCATAATTAATTAAAATTGCTCCATTAAAGTATGATAATATTTTTATAACTTAATAATGTCAGTATTTTTTCTGAATTCTCCCCCTAGTTTGCCACCCTCAGAGGTGAAATAATTTCTTCAAATTTAAATGATACCACTACTGGGTTACCTCTTTCCAACAAGAAAATAATCATCAAAATCGGTTCAAAAATGTTATTGCGTACCTTACATACAAAAAAAACATAAAGTCGAATTGGGAACCTCTCCTTTTTTGAAGTCGGTAAAAATCAAAATTTTCCACGTTATTTTTCACATCTTCCTACCTATTTTTCACTTACTAAATCAATCATTCTTCTTCGAAATTTATTAAATATGAACCCAAATTCCGATTCGGCAAAAAATATATTACATCAACTGAACAATATATACATATAATATTTAAGTGACTTAGTAACTACAGTTGCAATGTTTGTACCGCCAAAATAATCCCTACAATTTTCCGATTGCAGTCGTTAATTTGATTGAAAACGAGTTTCCTCGCATCTTCAGGAAATCGACCGATTTATCGATATTTCATAACACAGGACTCGCATCGATTTGGCAATCGAGTCATAGTCGGCTAGTTTTCATCATCGATGTGTTCTCGTCTATGCATTTAGCCTGTCAGTAGTATTGTGTAATTTACGAAATCAAAGACGAGATGGCTTTGTTCATGACAACATAATATTATGAACATGTAATATAAAATATGTAAATATACTAACTTAATATTGTCTTATAAAACTACGAGGCTATGAATTAAGAGACTGTGGAACATGCATGGAATGAAATGGTTTTTGAGCAATGTGCTCTCTTTATATATTTAATTATTCGTGGAAAATCAACAGCTTTAAAACAAATGAAAAAACATCATCAAATACTTTACAGCCAATTAAAAGTTTTCGCTTATAGTAAAATACTGACTAATAACAACGAGCGCACATACACTTAACTTAGAATAGAAATAAAATATATAGAATATAATATATATGTAATGTAAATCTGAGTTCAGTACTTATGTTATTATAACGTTCTTTAAGTTGTGAGAAACGTAAAGGTGTAAGCGTAACCAAATTTTCAGAATTGTCACACATCACAGTAAATAACTCCTGAAAGTTCAGTGTTGCTCTACCTAGCACTCTTCTTAAAATATCCTTGACAGACCTAACCATTCGCTCTCAAATCCCTAACATATATCCTAATACTTGTGCCACGAAATGATTGCCCACTAAACATACGGGCCCACAGGTTGACGCCTTAATCAGTTCGAATTAGATTGTCAATATTAAGTTTGCTCCTGCTCAACACATGGTTCAAACTCTTGCAAGATAAAGAAAACTGTTTTTTCTACATATATTTAGTCCTTGCCAGGGGAACTGCAACAGGACGGTAGTATCTCATGAAACGCGTAGGTATATTAAACGCAATACTACTCAGTGATTCGGACCAATCGACATAGCCGTTATTTATTACCTTTAAAAATTTCAAATACAATTTCATGATGTTTTCACAATTCAGCAGACAGTTTATGAATTCGGTTTTGAGTTTTATTTTATTCGACCTGATCTAGAAAATAGTTTTATTAAAAAAATCATTCAAGCAACTGCCTGTAGAAGGTATTTCCTTTCTAGAAAACGTTGACGGTTGACGATGGTTTAGTTACAGTAAGGGCTCGAGGAAACCCCGATGTGCAATAGCTTAAGTCATGCAAGGGTCAAGTCATAGGAAAGTAGCGCAACTAACCCAGTTTTTCTGACCCTTATACCTTCGCTTGTGCATAATATGTGTGCCACAACAACCCATATCGGTCGCTTGTTCGTAACACTCGTGTTGTAATCTTGCTGTGCGAGGGCGCAGTTTACCACGCGAAGTCGCGTCGCGCTGTCGCGAGTCTGTAGCCGGTTGGAGCGAATTCGTAATCAAGTTTGTTAGTAATCGAGTTTTGTATATTTTTAAATAATCAGGTTGTCAAAACTATAAAACAACTAAAGATATTTCTTTTTCATATTGAGTTCTTCGATTTTCACTATCGTTACACCATTTTTTCGAATCTAATTCGCGTGTATTTGTTTTTCAAACAAATCTTTGTTTTTCTTTAAAGAAACAAATCTACTTCTTTTTCAGCTCCAAAAAATATTTCTAGACGCTTTTACATGGTTATCTTAAAGAAAATGTAACATAAATCACTTTAAAAAAAATCATTTTCAGTAAAATTTAGAAACATAATCAAACAAAAAATAAATATAGTTCCATATTTAGTGTCGAATTATTAAATATCAGTTGATAACGTCGTCTTTCATCCTTTACGTATCATATCAAAATTAACACTTTTTTTATTTAGAACAGTTTAACTGCTGTTGGCTGTCAATGGTGCCATCTCAGTCTGTAGATCTTCTCTTCAAAAGCTTATTAAACTTAATAAGGCTCAGCTACGCACATTGTTGTGGTAAGCGTTGTTACGCTATCGCCTGGGCTTGCACCAGTTCACCACGCGTAGTCGCAAAGCGCAGCCGCGAACGACATTACACGAACCCGTGCCGAAGCACTCGCGAAATTTTAAATTCGGAGCTAAAACTATCTGACGTTTGTTTTTTTATTAGTGTTTTTAACAATAGTGCATTGTGTTGCTATAGTTTTCTTGTAAGTGTTTTTTTAAATTGTGACGAAAATTTTGTGTACCTCGAAGTTAACAGTTTATGTCATATCTTTAGTTCCCTAATGCTTTTGTTGTCAGAGTGTTTGATAATCTATCATTATTGCTTATTAAAAAGTGACAAAGAAGAAGTTCGGCAGGAATACAAGCGTTATGAATACAGATTAGAAAAATCATTTTAAAAATTATGTACTTACACTGCTGTTTGATCGACAATGTAGAGTCCATTTACTATATATTTTTAGTTACAAAAACAAGTTTTGAGAAGGAAAATAATTTGCTGCATTTAGTTTTCATACAAAAATAAACCTATGACAAGCCCATGTCTCTAGAACTATTTTGCTTGTAGATTCCAGTTACGGGTGTTTAGGTTACCTAACACTGCGTAAGACCTGTGTGACGTAACGACCGGACACCCGTACATGTCCAGCCTTGACTAGAATACCGGTACTAGATATTTACTAATCAATTAGACAGGTCAGTAGGAAAAAGGGAATACGTTTAGTTATTTAATAAAACCTCGTAATTAAACATTTCGATACCTCCAATAAACAATACGCCAACTGTATTTTTTGGTTATTTTCTATTATTTTTCTAAACAGCCATATTTATTTACTAATATTATGCTCCTTGAATTTTGTGACGTTAAAATAAAGAAACAAAAAATAAAATTAGAAAAATAAAAACAAAAAGATCAATTTTGTGAAAAAAAGAAACAAAAAACAAAATAAAAACAGAATAGATCGAAAAATTAAGTTGGCGTAGTGTTCATTGAAAGTATCGATGTGCTGCCCGCAAATATGTCGAACGAGTAAAGTATTTAACGCGATTAACTCATGATGCGTCCTAGAGACACACGGTGTCCCAAAAGATTTTGATACTTTTTAGCGTCTTGGGCCACAAGGCGTCTTTAAAGCGCAGCAGCTGTGATTATCCACAATTTTTTTTTTAAATTATAAAAAGTTTTATCTAAAACGTGAATTAACATTGTTAAAAACTATTAAACAATATGAAAAAAATAAGACACAAAAACAACTGGGAATACATTTGTTAAGAGGGATGGCGAAGTTTGATCACCAAATGGAATTGCACAACTATTTTCGAATTAATTGAATTTAAGGTTAAGAAAAACGCAATAAAACCCAAAGGTTTTCACAACATAAAATCAAAAATCAAAATAATCATTATTATATCATAGATAAGCACTTGAAATCGTCAAATTGGTTAAACTCTTCCGCTCATTCGTTAGGCAAATTTCCCTGAGAAGTATGAGTAAGAAACTCTACGGGTTGCCGTTTGTCAACATAGATATAACTATTGTATTAAATACTCTGTACAAGTTCAAAAGCCGACACTTAACATTTAAATTGAATTCTATGTCGCTTACGATTAGTGCAGTCCAGATTTACCGTGTATGGATGAAAAAGTATACAATTTTGACATTAAGTGACAATTTTTATTGTAGACTCAGTACAAATAACATAATCTGATGACTTAATAGTCAAGTTACATGTTGAATAAGTAGACTAACAAGTACACCATAAATCATAATCTACTTATTTTATTGTCATGGCACAGTGTAGCTAGTAGCACATCCTGCAAGGTTTTATAACCAATTAATATGCTGTGGTTTATTACATATTGGTAGAAATATATATTTTTTTATAATACCAACTGACGGGACGCACAAGTCGTGTCTGGTGTTAAGCGACACGCCTGTCTTCTGTCTGAGCTTTAAATCGCAAAGATCTGACGGGCACTGCACCCGTCTCACTGGGACGTAAGTTGATAAGTCCCATGTGCCTGTAATACCACCCTTACCCTTCAAATCCGGAACGCAGTAATGCTCACATTACCGCTTGGCGGCAGAAATAGGTAAGGTGGCACTACTACCCTGGATTCTTTCACAAGGAGCTCCACTGCTACTAAATTTTAAATATAATTAAAACTGTTGTAAACACCATATCCAATTGTAAATTTGCCTACGTATTGTATGTTTTCTTAAAGTGTAATGTTACGGTAATCAAACTTTGACCACTGAAATTGTTATTAATTCTAAAGGCTATTATTAAGTATAGTTTAAAAGTTCTTGTTAACAATTTTTTCCTGATGTTTCAAACCGCGAACTCGAGACTTTTCGCCCAGAATGCTTAACTACAATTGTTTGTAAAATTGACTGTTTTTACAATCTATAAAGCTATAACAGCCAGTTGTTAAAAAATATAAATTATAATTAATATGCCGAATGTGCCTACAAATATTGCGTTGTCATAAATATAGTTTTTACTTTGTGATAAGAAAATGTCGTAAAATTTAAACGCATTTAATATTCAGTAAATGTGAATTCGTCGAGAAGTATAAAGCATTAGTAAATTCAAATAAGAATAGAAATATTTCGCTTTTAAGCAATCTTTCGGATATTTTTAATCCTATGTAATTGCTGCACAGTTGAGTTTTTTCGCAATATCAATACGATATTTCTGCCAGCAAACAATAATGTGAGTGATAATTACTGCGTTCCGGTTTTGAAGGATGGTACTGGTGAAATTACAAGCACATGGGACTTGTCAAATTATGTCTTAGGGGGACGGACTCAGTGGCAGGTCCATCAAATGTTTGCGATTTGAAGCTCTGAGTGGCATTGCAACTATTAGAGACAGTAACGTAGTTTACCACCAGAAACACGACTTCCTCGCCAGGTCAATTTATACTATAAAATAAAAAAAAGAAAGTCGTTAATAAATAACTTTAAAAACGCTTGTCAATCTACCATGGTAACAAACACTATTGTTACAAGCAGTTGTTAAACTAATGTCTTTAAAGAATTTATTAAACAAGTTACACAATTCGCAAAAGTGCGAAGACAAAAAACAATAACGCTGCACAAATTTAAATCTCAGTAACGCATTTTTGAAGTTCCGTGAAAAAAATGATTTAAGTTTTAACAATTTTCTTTTTGCTATTACGGCGATTTAGCGAACTTTTGCTCAATCAATTACGTAATTGCGTAGTTTACGAATTTACATCTGAATTTTATATTATTTATTCTTAAGAACTTACTAGTAGACTCACAATGGATTAGCACAGTAACCAACTTGCTTACTGCGTTTACGACAAGGTAGAGTAGAAAGACGAACAGATTACTGTTTTCTTTCTAAGAGATAGTCGCTAATAACAATCCAATATAGCTATTTATGTTTGTAGCATATTCAAAGTTCATAATTATGAAATAATACATAGTAAAAGTGCTGTAGTTTTCGACGATTTTGGGAAATATTTCTTGTGAACGAAACTATATAAATGATCATCTACTTTAATCAAAGTGATAAATAAAATAGTGTACTTTTGGTTAAACAAAATTTCAATTTAATACTTACAATAAATACCATTTAATAATGTCAAAACATTAATTAACAACGTTTTAAATTAAATTCCAAAACCTCTTCAATTTAATATACCGTAATTGTTAAGAAAATATACTGGTAATAAACTACTAAAACATAAAAGAATATAAAGAAATAAGTTGATTATTAAACGATTAATTAATTATAATTCTTTGACTTCATAACAATTACAGGGCCAGTCAGAGTGCACGGTCGGGCACTGCGACTGCACCCGTCACCCTAAAACATAAAGTTGACAAGTCCCATGTGCCCTTTAAAAGCAGAACGCCGTAATGCTCACATTATTGTTTGGCGACAGAAATATATAATATGGTAACTGTACTACCCTGGACAAATTCTTTCACAAGGAGCTCTACTGATACGAGATATGTATATAGAATTTATAAGAAAACAACATCCGTACACCTTGTACACGTTCCTTCTCCAACTGTTCTTAGAGTCATACTCACGTTATATACCTCTTCATAAGCTTCGCATATTAATCAATGCTAATTACTTTTCCGTGAATTAACGATGTACAGGAAGTCAAAGTTTTGGCCGAGCCGATATCGAAGTAACACAAAGCCTGTGCAACGAACGGGACACCCATTTGCAGTGATGATTTTTTTCGTTAAATTAAAATTTAAAAAACGCTTTTTTATTTCAAACTTCTTGCATGTTGCTGCTGCAAATCTGGTTTCGGTGTGTATGGAATGCCAGTTGTGGAAACTGTCAAAAGCTAAAACACGGAAGCCGAAGTTAGCCGACAGTATGAAGGTAGCAATTAAAATTACCGCTACGCCAATGTCTAATAGGGTGCAATCATTAACATTAATTAGTTAATATTAGATAACGTTGATATCAACTAGTTCGTGTGAATTCACAACTTGTTTTAATTGTGAACTCGAGCTCTGGAATTTAAGTTGTCATTTTTTTTAGTTAGTGGTCGCGTGTGATTATTTTGTCTCAAATTTTATTGAGTAAGTTTAAGTTTACTTCAGTGGTCGTTTCCCGTCGTCGTTTCAGTGGTCGTTACACATCGATGTAGCGTCGTATATATTCTATGCTATTTGTATTCCAGTATTGTTTTGCATTCTAGACTCTCGTAGTACCCTAAATTTAACGACCCTGTGTAAAGATTACGGAATTTTAAAAATCAGATATTTAAAAAAAATACAACTCTACTTTTCAAAAATTCCATTTCTCGTAATCATTCACACCCGATTTTACGAACACCTACCCACAAGTCTAAAAAGTGTTACAAATGACGAAGTGTTTTGTTCCCGGCTGAAAGACCTTTTATTGGATAATGAATTCTATAGTGTAGAGGAATTTTGTTTTGAAGAAATTGTAATTATATTTTAAATTTTGGGCGTTTGTAATTTGAAAATATTTAAATTTTTGTCTTCATTTCTCTTTTAAGTATTTTATTTTATATTAACAATAAAATTATTATTTACATTAATGACGATCATGTTATCCCTTGAAATTATATTTCGAATTGTGATATTATGAAATTGATAATATGAAATAAATTATTCAATTCTTCTATTCTATTCTAAAACAAAATTTCAAACACATCTTTTTGACCAATTTCAAAACAAGGAGGAGGTTCTCAATTCGATTATACTCCGACATTTGTAATTTCCGTGAATCTTTTTTTTATTGGAAAGGGGGTACCTCAGTAGTGGTCATATATCCCAAATATGAAGAAAGTATCCTACCTTTAAGGGTCGAAAATTAGGGGATGAATTCGGTTTATTGGATATCACATGCAATCAAACTTAGCAAAAACACACATCAAAAGCGTCCAGGCATCAAGATTTTTTTTTATTTGACTACCCTATTAAAATTAAGTAAACATATATAAATTTATTAAATTATTTATTTATTTATGAAATTGACAAAAAAATAGTCTTAAAAAAATTATGAAACCTGATTTTCAGCAATTAGGAAAAACGTGCTTGGTCCCTAGGACACTATAGATGTAGATGTAATTGTACAAACTTTTGAGGCAGGTTTTTTATTTACATGTCTTTTTCTTATGTCATAAATATTTTATTTCTTAAATCAAATTCAAAACAATTAATGGTCTTCAAGTACACCAATCCTATTTGCGCATGCAGTCGTCACGTCATCAACTGATATTCAAAATTCAATTTAATCATACAAATTTCCCTCTCAACCATGTGTTATCTCGAAATTTCATATAATTAACATTTACACTAAAATTACACTAATCTCAATCTTTATTTCTCCACAGAAACAATCGTTAGTGCAAAGTGCATCGATAGTGAGACACCGTGGGAGAGTGCATTCGGAACAATGATATATAACCTCTTGTAATTGCATAACTTTCTTCTCGTTTTTCACTAAATAACTTAACTAAAGGAAAAACATTCATTAAGTGCTGAATTTAGTGTTGTTCACCTTTGGTGCACGTGTTTCAGTCAAATTTGGGTGCAATAAATTCAGTGTGCGTTCAACTGAACTTGACTAAAAAAATACAGTGGCTTAAATTAGAATCAGTGTAAACTTTCCAAAGAGACAATCAAAAAATTGTTTAAACATTCTTCATCAAATTCTAATGACAAACTGTGTACCATTAGTGACTCAGCGTGTTAAGTGACACGATAATTGTGGTATTCGAAGGGTAATTTCGTTATCAGAAGGCTGAGCCTTCCCGGGAGTATTTAGTTTGAGTACTGCGTGAGGACATCGGCAGCAATGAAAGTAAGTATTAGTTTATATATTTAACACAAGATCAACAAGTTTTTTTTATGATATCAAGCGACGGGACGAACAAGAGCCGTGAGAATGGTGATAAGCGACACGCCTGTCCATAACAGTTGCCATTGCTAATCAGAGTTTTAAATCGCAAAGATTTGAGGGACATTGTCAATGAGCCCGTCATCCTAAGACATAAATTGACAGGTCCCATGTGCCTGTAATTTCATCAGCACCCTTACCCTTCAAAACCGTAACACATAAATGTGCGCATTTCTTCCCTGGACGAACTGTTTCACAAGGAACTCTACTGCTACTAAATTTTCTTTAATCAAGTTTCGGTTTTGAAGGGTCAGGGAGCTGGTGAAATTACACGCACAATGGACTTGTTAACTAGCCCCTGTGATCTTTGCAATTTAAAGCTCTGGTGGCAATACAACTGTTATCTGCCGTGTCGCTTACCACCAGGCGCACGACTTGTTCGTCCAGTCAGTAAGTACAGTAAAAAAAAAAATATATAAACCTCTTAGACAACCCGATGGCAGTCGTCATCTTCACACGTTAAATTAAAAAATAAATGCACATCATAACCATTATAACCACTTGCAAATAATCAAATTGATAAGTGCACACTGTTGACCTTAAAAAATTACAACATTATCAACACAATCACATTAAACAGTTAATAACCTTCCATATGTGCCAAGGCCGGTCATTGTGATGCGTATTGCAGAATTAGAGATCTAATCACAATTGATACTCAGAGAATCCAAAGTAGCCTTTCTCAACTTATTCTTTTTTCTTTTTCTTTTTTTATCGACACGCCTGTTGGTAACAGTTGCAGTACCACTGAGAGTTTTAAATCCCTAATCAATTCACCAGCAAAACTGGAACGCAATAATGCTTACATTACTGCTTCGTGGCAGAAATAGGTAAGGCGGCAGTACTTCCGTCGACAAACTCATTCACAAGGAGTTGTACTGGCGAACTTTGGCGTCAAATTGGAACTTTTCTTTTATTTTATATTCATGAAATCGCAAGCAAAGGCTAGTTATGATATTACATAGAAACTATACCAATGTAAAGATATTCATTTTGAGATTTAATCTTTTACAAATAATTCTTCGAACTTAATTAAAACGTGAACGAGAAATCAACTAAAGATACAGTTAGACAAAAACATAAATCATAATACAATTAACTAATCAAACATACAATCTTTTTGTAACAAACTACATAAGAGCACAATTCATTTGTCTTTTTAAGTACCGAAGTGATTACACAATCAGAAAAACTGTATTTTCTGCACCATCAATCTCGTTCTTTCCGTTCCACTTAAAATAAATGCTAATTTTTATTACCTTCAACATAAGGCTGGAAGTACGTTGGTAGCTCTTTTACTACGGTCAATTGATTAATTATTACTTCACAATATCATGACGATTATTAACAGATTAAAAATGAACTGGTGAAAGAAAGCGTTCTAATTGGATCGCCTTATTAGAACCGATAATTTGAAATCATTATTGATATCTTTTAGTATGACGTGTTTCAGGGATGCCAATGCTTTTTTTAAACTCAAAAACACATATTAATGTTTCGCGAAAAACGCTTTCGTTTTTCGACAAACGCATGGATTAAAAACTAAATAATATTTCATATGACGTTTTACATTACTATTATCGAATCGATCGAATTAAAAATCGAATTAACTTGAATGACTTTCGAAATTGGTCGCAAAATTGTTGTATAAATAACTAAACGTAATGCGTAATAAAGCTAAATTCTATAACATTACGTTATGTTGTACTGTCATTTAGCAAGTAATTGGTGATTATTTCATAGCTATGCTTCGACTCATTACAAAATTATATAAAAATAGCTTTAGTGCTTTTTAGTTAAATGAGACTAAAATGAAATTGCTATTGCAAGATATGAATATATCTTGACTCTAATTATATCACACTTTTCCTCAACAATTTCCATAGATACGTAGGGTAATTAATGAAATGGCGGAAATATTTCAAAATATAAGAGAGAAGCTAAAATTAAGATTAAATTTGGAAAAATATTGATTTTTTTTCTTACTTACTTCACTGGTTCTGCGACCCGAAGTGGATTTTTATTATGATACCAAGTGAACGGACGAACAAGTAGTGCGTCTGGAGATAAGCGACACGCGTGTCCATAACAGTTTCAGTGCCACTCAGAGCTTTAGCAATCTGACGGGCACTGCCACTGGGCCCGTCACTCTGAGGAGTATGTTGTTGAGGAGGAACAAGTCCCATGTGCCTGCAATTTCACTAGCACTCTTACTTTTCAAAACCTGACAAGGAGCTCTACTGCCACTAAAAGATACAGAGATAGATCATTTTATAAATTCTCAACATTCATTCAAAATAAAATCAGAAGTTTGCGTTACAATCGCAAACGGACACCCATTCAATATTAATTATTTACAAAATAATCGTTACAGTGATTGACGACGCAATCATCTTGCAAACTCTATCGAGTCGCAAGCATGGCGGTTAATTATATAAATTCACCTATGTAAAAACAAACAAAACTCATCTTTACACTTATTTCTACAACTATGGACGATTGAATCATCGCATATTTGTTGCTAACTTTACCTAGCCGCAGTGCTGCGGTTATGCAAAGAACGATACGAACTGTTGCATCAACCTATGTAAGGTCTATTTGGTCTGACGACGTAAAAACCGTAACTGGAAACGATACGGTAATATACTTTATTTATACAAATATACAAACCTATTGTTGAATAACGAAATTAAAGAAAAGCGGGTAAAAAGACCGAGGATAAACTTGTCACGCGAGTCTCGCGTAATTAATACAAGACTCAGTCCACATGAATTTGATTGTAGAAATAAAGAAAGAGTACAGGAAAGGAAAAGAACAGGTAAAGTAAGGCGTAAAGGCTGTAACAATAAAAACATTCACAATCGTATAAAAACACTCCCTACTTAAATTAAATACAGGCTATAGTAAAAAGGAACTTACCCCAAAAGAGCCTGTAATTTCTAGAAAAACTATACTTTATAAGCAGTTCGGTTACATGATTTTCAATGGTACTAGAAATATAATACTTTACAAACAGGTTACATAATTTAACTGGTCAGAATTTATGAGAAATCAAGCACGTGAGCTCGCTTCGTAAATTTAGAAAAGAGTGGCGATGGAAAGAAGAAAAGTAAGTGATGAAGAAGAAAAGGAAATTAAGAATGATTCAAAATGTCAAGTAGGTAGCCAGGAACTAGAGAAAAGGGTGATAAAAAGGTAGGATGACGATGAAAGAGGTCGCATTGTCACAAACTATCATTATAGGTCAGGTAAATGATAGAAGCAAAACAAATGTACGTACTTGCTGGAGAGTAGCAGCAGAGATCTTGTGAAAGAGTTCGTCCAGGGAAGTACTACCACCTGACTTATTTCTACCGTCAAGTAGTAATGTGAGCATTAATGTTTCGGTTTTGAGGGTTGAGGTGCTGGCGAAATTTCAGGTATATAAGATGGGCAAGGCGATGAACGCAGTGGCAGTGCCCCTTAGATCTTTGCGATTTAAAGCTCTCAGCGGCACTGCGACAACATGACTATTAACTGGTTTAAACCAAGGAACTGCCCAAAATGACTAGACTTGAATGGTTTCCGAAAAGTCCGGGGCATAATCTGGTCCGGCCTACAATCGAACCAGGAACCTTCGTATCTATTGACCTGTGTATTAACCATTGATCTACCGAAGAGAGATAAAATAGAAGATGAATATAATATGGTTATATGAACGAGATCCAGTTGAAGCGCATAAAATAGCAAAAAAAAACCCATAAAATTCGAAGGAAATGAAAGAAGTGGAGATTTAAGAAATTCTTTTCAAATTAAAGAAGAAGAACGAGGGTGTAATCTGTCATACAACGGTGTTCGAAAGGAACCGGTTTTAGAGCGTTTACGCACCACGTCCGATTAGTATCAGGGGGTCTACTCTCGATCTCCGTCCGACATCTGTCCGAAGCAATTACTGTCAAATAAGTAATATTCGACAAAATTAAAAGACAAGTATCCAGTATAAAGCTTCATTCGCATCACGCGTCTTTTCATTTGGTCAAGTATTGCTTATTTGGCAGTAATTGTTTCGGACGGATGTCGGACGGAAATCGAGAGTAGACTCCCTATTCCGAATCTGAGAAATGACGGTCCGAAATGTCACAGGAATTTCTCGGATTCGAATGGGACTAAGTGCACTAGCGACTTTCGATGTGGGTACGAGTTTTCTAGATTTGTATCGTATTGGTAAATTTCAAGAAGCTGTCATTTGGAAGGTCATTTATCGCATGTATTGATTTCATTTCATTTCATTTATTCTTTGCCACCATTTTTCATTCGTTACAAAATATCTTACTTAATATACATGTGCTCATATGGACCCCGTAAAGGGAACGGCAAAGTTTAACAATTTGAGAGATAAACTTTTATTGCTTACATTACAATAATAAACAACATGCAACTATAATTTATGCATTTTACATAATTATATTTTTATTTATTTATTTACATGTGTATAAGTTTATATATTTATAAAGAAATAATTAAATTATAATTTTAAAATTTAACTCCCGTCATAAAATTAAAATATATGATTTTAAGTAGGTAAACGATGAAAGTAGATAACCTATTTCTTTTAAGAGGCAAAGGAACAGACGAGCCGTTTGATGGCAGGTGGTCACGCGCAAACACATTTGCAACACCAGAAGAACTGCCTATATACGTACAGTCGACTTTCAAGAGCCCTGTTTACACGATATTTGAAAAAATCCATGTCATAACACAAAGAAAATAATTCAGAAGGGGCCCTGTTTCACATCTTGCATGTTCCAGAAAGGAACGAACGTGATACCTGCATGGTAACAGGATGCAGAGCATCAACGATGGGCTCCATTCTTTTAAATTGAAGTTTTTCTTCATTTACGATAAAAAAGCACAATCATGCTCCA